ATTTTATGAAATCTTAAAGGGACTTATCTAAGAAAAAGAAGATAAAAAAAAAACGTGTACAGTAAAATGACAGCAAACTCACAACTATTAACAACCACACCTAAAACAAAAACAAACTAAGGAAACAACTAGAACAGGAACAGAACCACAGAAATGGAGATCACATGGAGGGTTAGCATCAGGGTAGTGGGAGGAGTGGGGGGAAGGTACAGAGAATAAGTAGCATAGATGGTAGGCAGAAAATAGACAGGGGGAGGGTAAGAATAGTATGGGAAATATAGAAGCTAAATAACTGAAGACACATGGACATAAACTAAAGGGGGGAAATGGGACAACTATAATAGCATAATCAATAAAATATATTTTTAAAAATAAAAGTATATTTTATTGATTATGCTGTGACAGTTGTTCCAGTTTTTTACCCTTTGCCCTCCTCCACCCAGTACCCTCTCCCACCAATAAGACCCCCTTAGTTTATGTCCATGGGTCATATATATAAATTCTTTGACCTCTCCATTTCCTACTCTATTCTTAACATCCCCCAGTCTATTCTGTACCTACTATTTATGCTTCTTAATTCCTGCATCTTTCCCCCCATTCTTCCCCTTCCTCCTCCCCGCTGATAACCTTCCAAATGATCTCCATGCCTATTATTCTATTCCTATTCTGGTTGTTTGCTTAGTTTTTTGTTTGTTTGTTTGTTTGTTTTACTTTTTAGATTCAGTTGTTGATAGTTGTGAATTTGTTGCCTTTTTAATGTTCATAGTTTTGATCTTCTTCTTTTTCTTAATTAAGTCCCTTTAACATTTCCTGTAATAATGGCTTGATGATGATGAACTCCTTTAACTTTACCTTGTCTGGGAAGCACTTTATCTGCCCTTCCATTCTAAATGATGGCTTTGCTGGATAGAGTAATCTAGATTGTAGGTCCTTGCTTTTCATCACTTTCAACACTTCTTGCCTGTCCCTTCTTGCCTGCAAAGTTTCTTTGCAGCTGAGAAGTCGGCTGACAGTCTTACGGGAACTCTTTTGTAGGTAACTCTCTGCTTTTCTCTTGCTGCTTCTAAGATTCTCTCTTTATCTTTAACCTTTGGCATTTTAATTATGATGTGTCTTGGTGTGGTCCTCTTTGGGCCCAACCTGTTTGGGACTCTCTGTGCTTCCTGAATTCATATGTCTATTTTCTTTGCCAAATTAGGGAAGTTTTCTTTGATTATTTTTCAAATAAGTTTTCAGTTTCTTGACCTTCCTCTTCCCTTTCTGGAATTGCTATAATTCAGATGTTGGCTCTTTTGAAGATATCACAAAGTCTTCTGAAACTCTCTCTCTCTTTTTTTTTTAATTCTTATTTCTTCATTTTGTTCTGGTTGAACGTTTTTTTTTTCTTCCTTATGTTTCAAATCGTTGATTTGAATCCTGGCTTCCTTCCCTTCACTATTGTTTCCCTGTAGATTTTTTTCTTTATTTCACTTTGTGTAACCTTCATGTCTGCCATACTGTGGCCATATTCAATGAGTTCTTTGAGCATCCTGATCACCAGTGTTTTGAACCCTGCATCTGATAGGTTGGCTATCTCCATTTCATTTAGTTCTTCTCTGAGGTTTTGTTCTGTTCTTTCATTTGGGCCATATTACTTTGTCTCCTCAATTTGGCGGCCCGTGCTTGTGTTTGTTTCTGTGTATTAGGTAGAGCTAAGTTCCTGTAAAAGGCACCTGTAAATTGAGTGGGGAAGAGCCTCAGGTAACTGCCAGGGTGGGGCAACCCATTTCACCGCTCTGTGGTTCTGTGTGGGAGGAGAACTCAGACAGGGGACTGTGCTGCTCAGACAGGGGACTGTGCTTCTGGGGGTTTGCCCAGCACTTGTCCCATTTCCAGTCACTTCACCCACTCCCCTTATGTGACTTCCAGCTGTTGCCCTGGTGTTGAACCCCAGAGTGGGTGGGTTTGCATATGTTTTAAGACCATGCAGGCCCTTTAAGCAAAGTTGCTTGAAAATCTAGCAGTTTTTCCTGCTACTCCAACCCCCACTGGTTTTCACAGCCAGAAATTATGGGGATTTAAATTCCTGGCCCTGGAATCCTGGGCTGTGCAATCTGGCCTTCAGCTGGAATCACTCACTCCCAAGGTGTCCCTCCTGATTTTTATCCACCACGCGAGAACATGGGACCACCCGTTTGCATTCCACTGCCACCACCTCTCTGTACCACATTGTACATCCATGCCTCTCTGCCCCATCTGTGTCTCTGCCCCTCCTACCCATCTGATGAACATGGCTTCTTTAAATCCTTGGTTGCTAGATTTCCATAAGTTCAATTTTCTCACAGTTTTGAAAATCTGGTTGTTATTTAAAATTTAGTTGTAACTCCTTTTTTATGATCACACAAGGAGGTGAAGCATGTCTACCTATGCCTCCATCTTGATCAGAAATCTGAGTTACTGAAACTTCTGTTCTCGGTTTGTACATGTGTCAAGTGAGAATAATGATAGACTATCTCAGGGTTTTTGTGAGGATGAAATATGATAATTCATGTAAGTCATTTAGCACAGAGGCTAGCACATAATTAGGAGACAGTGAGTTATGACGACATGAGTAACACAGGACCTACTTTTACATGGCTTTCTTCAGCTGTTTGCAGGGAATGTGCAGCCCTGAAGCATGGATTTAGTAAGGCGGACTTCTTTGCAGTTGGTGATGGAGGTATAGCTGCTCAGTATCAAGCTAGTTTGAGCACAATATTTAGCAGTTTTACTTTGGCCAAAGACTTGATGCACATTCTCTTTCCCCCTCACAGACTCTTTTTTTCTTTTTGAAACTTAAATGATTAAGAGAGTTATTGTGTTCTCTTCCCTGTGAGAAGTGAACTGGAGCCTCCTTTATATATGGGGCCTTGAATTTAAATGCATTTTCTAGGGCATGTTTTGAAGCTTTGGCTGTACAGAGGAAATTTCCAGATCTTAGCTCTCTGATCCTTCTAACTGGGTCCACTTCCTCCTAGAAGAGCTTGTAGGAAACGTGGTCTGGTAGAAGCAGATTCTCAGAGCGACCATCCCACTCCTAGGGGCCTCCACTGTGTACGAGTGCAGTGTGTGTGTGTGTACGTGTGCAGTGTGTGTGTACGTGTGCACACGTGCCTTCCTAGCAGGCAGGAGAGCACAAGTAAATGGATGTGGGTCGCCCTGAATGGTGTGGCTCAGTTGGTCGGGGGCCTTTCTGTGAAACAAAAGTTCCCCAGTTTGATTTCCTGTCAGGGTATGTGCTTGGATTATGGGTTTGGTCCCCAGTTTGGGAGCCTATGAGAGGCAACCATTGATGTTTCTCTTCCTTTCTTTCTCCCTCCCTTCCCTTATCTCCAAAAAATAAATGCATAATTTTTTAAAATGAAAGTGGGTTAATCTTAACACAAAGTATCAATTACTGCCTCTGATGATGAGAAAGTGGACCCCATTTAATAATGAGGATGAGTCAAGAAGAGAAGAAAAAGCTGGAACTCTGCAGAGAGCTGGACCTCACAGCTGCAGCCCATGATGGCCCAGCCAGCTGACCTATGCTTAGTCTTCGAAGAAAACACAGGCTTGCAAATGCCTATTGCATCAGCCACTACCCATCTGCCCTTCCCTGCCCCACCCTGGAAGGTGGTAAGGAGAATTAAGTAACAGCCTGTGAGGCAACCTTTCAGGCAGGGGTAAGTCTGGAGGAGGCTGTCTCACTCTTTCCAGCCAGGACCCACCCAACAGGTGCTCCTCAAATCCAAGTCCATGAAGGGCAAGCACTCATCTAGATGAAAGTCCCCCCACTCTCATGACACTGCATGGACTCCCTTCTCCCTCCTACCTGGGCATGGGGGCAGTAACTGACAGGACCTTTGAGCCTTCTGTTCTCACCAAAGTGGGCTCCAGAATCTCAAGCTGAAAGACCTCGGAGGGCATCTGAAGCAACACTGCCATTTTACACTGCCCCCAGCTAGATTGCATCAGCTTGTTCGGACTGCAGCCCACATCTCCCCCCACAACCTCAGGCACAGCTGAAGCACCAAAGTGTTCAGACTTGTCCAGTCTTTGGATGGAAACAGCCCTGGGAATGAGTGCTCTGTGGTCTGTGAAGTCATATAAGCTGGAGAGTAGGATGCTTAGGAGATTCTAAGGAGTGAGGGTGAAGTCCATTCTGAACATATATAGAAGGATCCTTTAATCCAAGTCTTGCAATAGAGTGAGCCAGGTTCAGGCTGAGATGGGCCAGAAGCAAACTATGGCAAAGGGGAGGGACCCATAGTCCCTCCCCTTCTGGGACAGCCCAAGACCCTGTGCCTGGGTCTTCTTCAGCCCCTCAAGTCCCCTGGGCCCTGGGAAGTCCACCTGAGCTGGGCCAGCAGGTTGTGGGTTGAATTCAACTACCAGGCCCACTGTGGGAAGCTTATATGGGCAAAGATGGTGGCCATTAACAGAAGGCGTTTACCTGGGTCCAGGATACCTATTACAATAGTAACAATTGCCAAAGTGTTGTTGGTTTACAGTATATATTAGATGCTACCACCACACACAAATTCTTACATGTATTCTTTTTAACCACTTTATTGAGGTACAGCTGACATACAAAAAGCCGGAGATACTTAATGTATACCATTTGCTGAGTTTGGAATGCACATGTATCCCTTATGAATGTGTAGTTCCACGGATGCTCAGTCTAGGAGGCAGCCAGCTTCCCCAAGTCACTTGCAGCTGAGAAGTGCAGCCTCGATGAGTTTCAGCTGATGGAGGCAATACGGGCTCCTGCTCTTCCTGGGGCCTGAACAACCCCCTTCTTCGGCTTTTAACCCAAGGGCCACTGGTGACACCTGATGTCCTGCATTTTTCCTCCTCTTTTCCTGGACTCTGGAAACCTTGTGCCAAAAGTCCTCCTCTGTGTATCATGCTGATTTGGCACACTCGGGCTGTTGATCTGGCACGTGCGGTTTTGCTAAAGGTAACGTATTCTTCCACCAATATTCTAAAACTGCCCACGTTCTCACAGCCCCTCCAGGCTTGAGAGTTCAGCCATATTCCCTTGCTGACACCCAGGTCCTAAGTAATTAAAATTCTTCAACTCACCCGATTCAGGGCTCTACTTTTATAATGTAATTACTTACCTCAAAGTCTTATAATTGTCTCAAAGGGACAAGAAATACTCTTCCTTCCTTTCAGTCTGATGCACCCAGGAGGTTTTCCAGCTGCCAGTTAAATGCTGGGCCCGACTGGGTACCCTATGGGCACAGCCCCACCCATTAGCGGGTGGGTTCCCAAGAGAACCCGCAAGTCTACACGAAACCAGCAGGACAAGGCTTCAGTGTGTCAGCAGGCCGCCCAACTAGGCCACTGAGCCTCTGGTGCACCTGGTAAGGTCCCCTGACCCAACTCCCTGCTCCTTCCTCAGAAGGAGGGTGGGCAAGGGAGAGCCTGTGGATGGTCAACCCCACGGAGAAGAGCAGGAAAAGCACTCGAGCTCACAGAAGAGATGGGGGATGGTCATGTGAGCAGGGGGGTCAGGCACGGTCACAGTGGGAAGGCAGGTGACAGGAGACGGGCGGGGAAAAGACCTGTGGGAAGGGTCCCTCTGCCAGGGGAGGGAAGTCCAAACCAATACCATTAGGTGGTTTCTATTTTTTACCTGATAAAGTTTCACGTATCCACTCAAGGGTTTGCTTGATGTTCTGCCCACATAGTAGAAGACAGGAGATAGATGGTCCGAGGCTTTAGAATTTGGCACTATCGGTTTCCAAGTACAGGGAAAATCCACGAAAAATGAGTGAGTACTCGTACTCAGTCTTCATTCCATTCCTGGTGCAGACAGCATATTGCTCCAAAGAAGGAGGCATGCATAACAAAGTAAAGGGACATCGAAGATGAGATCATTTAGTCAACATCCTCATTTTACACGTGAGAAACCTGAGGCCCAGAGAGGTGCCCAGAATCACTCAGTTGATAATTGCAGAACAAGCAGGTGGGGCTGAACTCTGGCTCCCGACTCCAAGCCCGTGTGTTTTCTTCCCTTCCGTCCTGTCTGCTAGGCTCCCGTCCTGGCTGCCAGGGCTGTCTAAGGGTGAAAGTTTGCCTTGGAGCGCCCTCCTCTGGCTCTGGCCAGCCGAGGAGCAGTTAGGGTATAGGCCAGGGCTCTCAAATTCAAAGTGAGTGCAGCAGAATCCCCTGCAGGGCTAGTTAAAACGCAGACTGCTGGGCCTACCCTAAGAGTTTCAGATTCAGTAGACCTGAGGTGGGGCCCAATAATTTACATTTCTAACAAGTTCTCAGGTGATGCTGATCTGCTAATTTAAGGACCACTAATTGAGACTGGTGTAGGCAGAGGTCTTGTGAATCTTACAGATAGAATAACAGGGTTCAAGTCCCAGCTTTGGCACACAGATCCTGTAACCTCAAACACAATGTTGTTTAATCTCTTGTTATCCAGTCTCTTCATCATATGACAGTAACTATAATGACACCCATAGGGTTAATGTGCAAAACTAATAAATCAGACGCAGAACGACCTGAGCAGGGCCATGCTGAGGCTGTGTGGAGACACAAACTCACAAGTAGATGGCCCTTGTTGGAGAGATGGCTCGGTGGGCCAGGGAATGTCTGCGGTGGCAGAAACGTTTTCTTATTGCTGCTCAACATTCTACAAATCCAGCAGAAATGGTGTTCATTCTTGCCCAGTTATTGCCGGAGGGATTTAGGGCCTGGCCTGGTTTGCAAAGACGAATGCCAGTCCGGGCCCTGGAGGAGCAGCTAGGTGCACGATAAGCATGCAAATCCTCATAATTACCCTGCCCAGTGAAGCGCCAGGGAAGGAGCCCTGTGCCTCCGAGCACAGAGCAGCCAACTACGGGAGTCATGCAAGGCTTCGAAGGGCCCTCTGACTTTGCAGCAGAGTGCTGAAGGGTGAATGGGAGTTCCCTAAGAAGAGAAGCGGCAGGGGGCACCAGACGGAGAAAAGAACACACTCGAAGCAGTCCCAGAGCTCGAACACGCAAGACACGGTCAGGGCAAAAGGAGTAGCAGTGCTGTGCAGCTGGCGCTCAGTGGGTCTGGGGACAGAGTGGAAGAGGGGGGCTGGCCAGGAAGGGAGAGAGAGGTTCTGCAAAACCCCAGATGCCATGATGGGGAGTTTAAACCTGATCAGGAGTTGGGTGGGGAGCCACTGAAAAGATACCCACCTCCGTCCTGGGGGGTTATCTGGGAAAAAACACCCTGAGCAATCCGAACGCTGAAGACAGTACCGCACCCTCCCCAGCTTTGCCACCCATGTACTGTAACCTTAAACATAGTTGGTTAATCTCTCGTTATCTGAGTCTCTCCACTGTATGATGGCAACTATAATGACCACCCATAGGGTTAACTTGTAACACTAATAAATCAGATGTAAAACAACCCGAGGAGTGCCGTGCTGAGGCTGTGTGAAGACTCAAACTCAAACACACAAGTAGATGGCCCTTGTTGGAGAGACAGCATGGTGGGCCAGGGAATGTCCACGGTGGCAGAAGCGTTCTCTTATTGCTGCTCAACATTCCACGAATCCAGCAGAAATGGTGTTCATTCTTGCACAACCAGCACCCTCCTCAGCACTCCCAGTGCCCAGGAGGCTCCCCTGCCAGGAAACCCAGCCCAGAAAGGCCTCCCGCACAGGGCGGTGGCGGGAAGGCAAGAGGAGCCCAGGGGCAGCGGCTTACCTCTTCTCTCCATCAGATAGGTTTCCTCATTCCCTCTGCCCTTGGGTGTGGAGCCACTGGGAGAACAAAAGGGTGTTATCTCAAATGCAGGAGTGTGGGCGCCTGTGGGGGTGGGAGAAGGAGCGGCCTTGGCAGGCAGCAGTGATGCAATCCCGGAAGGAGCCTGTGGAAACCTACACCTGGGGGGCGAGCCCCTTGCCTCACTGAACCCTCGGGATGTGGAGGGAGCCGGAAGAGGCCTGAGAGCCCTTCTGCTCCAGGTGCCATCATTAAAGATGAAATAACGAACACTCGGAGGTTGGGAGAACTGCCCATGACCCCGTGGCGGGCCAACGCCTGTCCCTCTCCGCCCCCAGCTGACCAGTGAGATTGCTGGGAACACTGGTGGTTTCTGCGTCCACTGACCTCCCCCCAGCCGCCCCCCATCCTGCAGAGTCTGTCCCATAGTCTGGGCCAGCCAAGTCCCTGCCCCTCTTTCAGATTCAGTCTTTTGTTTCCAAGCAGGTATGTGCTGGAGTGTGCAGAAAGGGGTCTCCTCTATTTTAGAACACTGTAATGGCAAGAAACGGGGACAAACTGCTATTCTAATTGCATGGGTTTAGGTTTTTCTCCCAGTCCCTCTATTTCCTGTGGAGGTGGAAGCAAATTGCTCTTGTGGGAATAATCCCGTTTGTTTTTAGGAAAATATTTTAATAGGTCTTTGGGTTATGCGGGGATAAAACTTATTCTGGAGAAGAGACAATGCGATTCATGTGAAGCTGCAGGCTCTGGTTGTAATTGTAAAAAGTGGTTTTCTTTTGGAATGAATGGCATCCCCTCAGAGTTCATGAGGAATTTTGTAAATGCTGCAGCCTGGCCTTAGCCATGCTGTGGGAGTGGAGGGAGGGCCGGTGCCCACAGTGGGAGAGAGCAGCACCCAGCCGGAGACGGGCGCCCCAGGCTGTGCGGGTTCCCAGCAGTCCTCACAAGCACTGCAGGAGGGGCTCAAGAAAGGCCTGGGCCGGCCGGCCATCACTCTTCTGTTAGGGACAGTGGCCTGTCCCTCTGTGTGGCAGGGCTGCCCGGAGCATCAAAGCTGGTTGGAAACCCACTGAGTTTCATTGCAAAAAGACAACAGGGTCTGGCAGAACTGCCACACCCACCCCACCCCACCCATGCCCGCCACCGCAGGACTGAGCACCCCCACCCCTGCCCCCAGAGCAGAGCCTCATCCACCCTCCGCTCTGTTCCTTGAAGGCCTGAGGTCTGATGGGATGAGAACAAACCCAGTAGACCCTCTTAGCTCCTAAATGTTTTACTTTGAAATTTTTCTTTTTCCTAAATACATTATTTAGAAAAGGTAAAGTACTTTATTTTGAAAAAATCTAGGAAACTGGGTTAGCCTTGGATTAATGGTGCATATCCTGCTGGTCATAGGGACCTGGGTTTCTGACAGTGACCAAGGGAAGGAATAAACGGGCATTTGGGGGCTAAAGCACTCCTACCTGATACTAATGTAATAATTATACTAACCTATTATTTATGTAATAATATAAACATTACGAATATAGCACTGTATACTTATATTGTTTTATAACATAGTATAAAATAATTAAAAATAACTTATGACAGAAAATCTGTTAATATAAATGTACTATTTATAGAAAATATATATTTAATATGTAAATGCGTAAGAACCATAAATATCACCAATTGTCCTACCGTGGAAACTTCATGTCAACATCCATTTGGGGGCACTTCCTTCCATTCCTCCAAGCACACAAACAAAAAACAAGCAAACAAGTATGTAGATACACGGAATATCCACCCACGCTTATTTTACAATCCCAGCGAAAAGAGAGTGTGCTTCCCCCTGGCTGGTGTGGCTCAGCAGATTGAGTGCAGGCCTGCAAACCAAAGGGTTGCCAGTTCGATTCCCAGTCAGGGCACATGCCTGGGTTGCAGGCCAGGTCTCCAGTAGGGAGCACACAAGAGGCAACCGCATATTGATGTTTCTCTCCCTCTCTTTCTGCTTCCCTTCCCCTCTCTCTAAAATAAATAAATAAAATCTTTAAAAAGAAAAAAGAGAGAGTGTGCTTCTTTTCCAATGGTCCTAGCAGTCCCCAGGCCGGCTCTCACCGGCCCAGCATGGGTCACGTGCCTAGCCCTAAACCTGAACCCCACAAAAACCAAATTAACCCATAAAACAGTTCAAATGAACTAAATATATACTTTTCTGAGCTTTTATTCTTAATGAAATAAATGGACCATGCATGTTCTTCGCAAATGTAACTCACTAATGACAAATATTATTATTTTATTATATCCACCCTTTCCCCATTGTCTCTCTTCCTCTCCTTCCTGCTGATCTATTTGTCTGCTGCTTCCTCTCTCCGCCAAGCCTCGCTCCCGCCTGGGTCAAGCAGCCTGTGGCAGACTGGCAGGAGAACAAGCGCTATTTATAGCAGTGTTTCCTGGGGCAGCGTGCTGTGCTGTGACATGGGAACACACCATTTAAGGGAGACTTCTGTCTCTCACTGCAGCCACAGTGGCTTTTGAGAACCTTGTCCACAGTGAGGAGGAACGTAAGAACACACTCCTCTGTCCCCGCAAAGGCCAGCCCTGCCTTTTACACGCCTGGGCAGCCACTTAGGGCACAGACTGTGGTAGACCAGGAGTCTGTCACGCAGCGGGCGCCTGGCATGGACGCATTTTTTGTCAGTGGGCCTCCAGAAGAATTGAGACCAGCAAAAAATAACCAAGCCAGAGCCTGGAGAGGACATGGATGTGAGAACTGGCGTTTGGTTTGGTGAGTTGAAGGCTGGGAACAGAGCAGGGACTATAAGGACCCAGTGGTGTAAAAGTCTTATATGAAACCTTGGACACGTGAAATAAGTAGTTCAATTTAAATGAATTTAAGTAAAATGTGTGTACACACTGGAATTGAATAATTGAGAAAATTCATGGCAGATAGTGGGAGCCAGGTTTCTTATTGTTGGAGTAGATGCTTCCAGATAAATCAGAGGAGATGAGTAGAACGATCCATGTGCTAATGAATTAGAGTTGAAGACATTAGTGGGAACTCATGTGTAACTTACTATAGATACAGATGGTCACATATGGAAATACTTATGGATGTGTGTACACACACCTCTATTTCCTTGCTTTGTTAGCCAAGACACCCCAGTGGCAACAAGCACACATAGCGCCCAGAACTTGGTTTCTAATACCACTCTCCAACACAAAGACTAGGTCATCTTAGAGAAATGGTTGATTCTGGAACTGGGGCAGCAGATATACAGGATAATCTAGGAGCATCTTGTAGTACCAAAGAGTAAGGAAGAGCTCAAAGGCTCCACAACAACTGGGGGAAAGAACCCAAAATTACACGGGAGCCAAATGAAAGATCTCTCAATAGCCAAAGCTGGAACAATTTGAGCAATAAAAGAAAGTATTATTGTATTATAACCAAAAGTATAAAATAAAGATCCCTGAGTCCATACTGGAATGAATAAATAATTGAATAATTAAACAAATGAGGGAGAACAGATAAATCTCCCAGGCAGAAGAATTCCCAATAATTTGTGTAGATGCTCTGCCTTCAGGGAAGTGGAGCATAACTCCCCAGCCCTGAAACCTGAGCTGCCTACAATGACTTCCTTCCCTGAGTACAGTGTGGAAGGAGGGGATTAACTTCACTTGTGCAGTGTCAAGTTCTACCCTAGCCAGATGGTCAAGGTCAACATCAGAAGTGATGTCATGTCCATAATGTGTACCTTTGATATAATGTGATGAGAATGGTGCCTCATCTCTGTAGTCTTCCTCCCCCAGAAACTCTTAGCCCAAGTCTAACAATGAGAAAAAATCAGACAAATCCAAAGTGAGGAACATTCTACAAAATATCTGACCAGTGCTCCCCCAAACTGTTAAAGATCATCAAAAACAAAAAAAAATCTAAAAAAAAGTCACATTCAAGAGGAGCCTAGAGAGACGTGACAACTAAATAATGTAGTGTCCTGGGTGTGATCTTGCCCCCTAAAAAAGACATTGGGGAAAACTAAGGAAATCTAAACAAAGACTGGATTCGGTCAGGAACGGTACATCGACACTGGCCCATCGTGATGTGTGCACCACACTAACATGAGAACTTGGTAACGGAAGGAACGGCTGTGGGGTGTATGAGAGCTTTGCACCATCACTGTGATTTTTCTATAAATCTAAAACTATTCTAAAATTAAAAGTTTATTTTTTTAAAAGTCAGTGATTGCAAAATATGAATATTGACTATTTCTGGATGGTAGGATCATAATGTTTGCTTCAATGTACTGCTCAAATTTTCTATAAAGTATGAGTTATTTATAAAATCTGAAAACCCTTTAAAGTATAAACTTCCAGTCTGAGATAACAAATTGATCATATGCCTTCACCTCCTCTCCCTCACAGACCCCACAAAACTTTTTGAAAAGAAAAGACCCATGAGAAGACTTCTGCCAAGATGGAAGCGTAGGTGGAGACGCTGTGCTTCCTCACACAACCAAGTTGAGAGACAACTAAATATTAGCGACAGAAAACACAGCCAGAACACAGAAAATTGAACTTTTCGGAAGTCTGATAACAACAAATTCTTCAGCCTGACCAGTAAGAGGGGCAAAACCAGCAGCTGGAGGAGCGGGGTTGCACAGGAAAACTCGGTCAGACGACTCAGGCGCACGGAACCCAGGTGCAGGGTTGGACCTGGTGGGCGACTCAGCAAGCAATCGCGGGGAAACAGCGAGGGAGCAGGGCTGCGGGTTGACTGTGGTCTCGCATCCGTGTGTGTGGATAGACAAGCGAGGGAGTGGGTGATTGGACAGGCCCCAGCAGGCCCCAGTGGCGAGCAGCAGCAGAGGGTGCTGCCATTTCCCCACTCTGACCACGCCCCCACATATAGCGTCACAACCCAGGGACCTGGGAGTCCAAGGCTCCCCTCCTCATACTTAACTTAATGGGCTTGAACAGAACAAAAATGGCTCAAGATCTCAAAGCCCCAGAGCCTATAAATCTAAGTGATGAAGAAATAGCACAACTCTCAGATGCA